TACTGTGACTCCAAGATGTAACTTAGTGCAACTTAAAAACCTGAGAGGTCAGACTCAGCATCCTATAAATAGTGACTGAAAAATTACAGTGCCAAGCACCACATGACCTTGCTTTAGTAACTTTTGTAACTTCTTTGAAGGTGTACATGAAGCTTCAGCTGACCGCATGTCAAATGTGTATGAGACTCCTCAAAGAAAACTTAGGTAGCTTGAGACCTCTCAGAGTGCACTCTGTTAGTACAGTGATTTTTTTCCTTTCCAACTAGAAGTCTCCACTCATATCATAGCAGAGTCTTATCTCCAGAAGGAAGAGGTTTAGGTAAATTAAGGCAGAATTTAAAAATCACCTTAAGAATGAGCTTGTACATTATCAACAATAGTCACTCTGTCCCTAGAGAACAATTTCGGATGCAAGTTGAGGCCAGCCACAATGGCCTGAATTTTCCCTACAGACCTGGGAAAAAGTTATAGCCATAAGAAATATCTCCACAGAGATACATGAAAGCAAGAGTTCAAATCCTACTCAATACAAGCATCCCTTGGGAACAGAACAATTTAACCCACTCTTTGAGAAATTTTAAAACCATAGGCTAAGAGAACACTGGGAACCTCACAGCACTAGAAAATAACATACCAAAAGTGATGCTAAGTATATCTTAGTTAAAAGCAAGATCAGATTTCTTCAGGTTTGATAAACAATTCAAGGACACTGGAACAAAGATGATGTGAAAGTATTTTCAAAGGCACATGAGGCAGAGAACTGGTCCACTCAGCCACATAAACAGATTTTCTTTTGTTAGTAGAGGCACTTCTGATGATTCAGAAGTATTAATTAGTCCAACCAACAAGCATACCATGCGATGGAGAGATCTGGATAGCAAGGAGTCCTAAAAAAAGAATAGGTTTGGTGTGGCAACAAGCAGAGACCTTCCCAATACCAAAACTGCAAGAGCTGTGCCAAGACAGCTTGAAAATCATGTTCTCACTGTAGGTTTTTAGATTTAGGGGAACGGAGAGAAAGTAAGTAATTCTGCTGGACTACTGAGTGAAGAACATAACAGACAGAAATCCTGGACACCACCCAGCTCATAAAGTCAGAGGCATCCAAGTCAAGTGATACACAAAGCAAACAACTCATCTAGCTGATACGCAAAGCAAACAACTCATCTAGCTGAAGGCTGGTATCAGAACATCTGATCAGACTTCTTGTTCATGAGCCAAAATAGCAAAATGGCTGATGCAGCCAGTGTATTCAAAGGTTTCAAAAGACACACACTGCAATATACTGTAATTTCAAAGCTTGACTGCCTCTTGACAAACACCTAATAGCCACTAATAAGTCACCATCCTGAAGCTGAAGTCGTGCCTACATTGAGAATGGATCACTTACATTCTTCCCTCTTTGTTACAACAAACTGTTGTCCCTGACAGCCACTAGACATGGATCTAAACTCCAAACCTTGCCACTTAAGTTATCTCCAAAACACAAAGAAACTCTTCAGGAAGTTGCTGGACTGAGCTCTAGACACTGTAATAGGAGGCAATTAATTTAGTGGCTGTAATGGATCAAACCTAATGGCAGCAGGCAAATCTGTCCTTCGAGGAACAACAAAAGAATTACAGAAATAATGTTATTTAGGCTTGTCTTCAAAAGACATTGCTGGGAAAAGCTGAACAGCAATGGGTGAGAGAAAACAGTCATTGTTTTCCCACTCTAATTAAACAATTCTTTGACCTGGAATTAACATTTCTTTTGTTGGCTAATGCTAGATGGTGTTGGCAAATATTGAGAAGAATGCACAACAATTTTAATTAGAAGTGATTTGGAGACTAGGTTGACCATAGAGCTTTTCAAAACTTCTTCATGGGGGAAAGGGCATGTATGCTATGGAGGAGAGGGACAATACGGCATGAGATATTTCTCTGTGGTCTCCAGAAGAACTATGCATGTAACCCTTTAAATATGGGTTGAAAGCAAAATAGGACCATCCTCAGCAATAAGGGGAAACAAGTATGGAAATACTGAGAAAACAGACTGTACATCAGGGATTATGGCTGTTGTTGCCCCAAAACTCCCCAAAGCCAGGAAGTGGCTTATTTTTAGAAGACTTGCATACAGCAGCAGTAGGGGAGTGGTCCAGTTTGGGAAAATTATCTTCTAGGTAAATCCCATCTTACTTTCACAAAAGAAATCTTGCAGGTTTTGATCCCTGATGGCTGATGCAGATACAGTAACATTCAAGGATATGATCTTCCCTCAAGCAGTGTGAATTCCAGATGTGAACGTTAAGTCACCAGATTCTTGCCAGCCAATAAGGGTGGAAAGGAAGCCAAGATTTTGCAATACCAGAAATGACATGAAGGAATAAAAATCCCCATACAAAATAAAGAAGAAACACTGCAAAGTTGCATGGTAATAATGACAAGGCTCTCTATTTCAACCTTACATATCATCTGTACAACACAGGGAGAGCCTCTAGAGCATAACTGGCCTGCTATAAGAAAAGCCTAGAAGTCCTGAATAAAACCACATGAATTAAACCCACAGTATGAATTTATATTGGATTACATTAGCTATTTTTTACAGAGAGAATGATAATAATTAAAAGGATTAATCAATGTGTCCATCCTAAACAACATGCATTCCTAATCATTCCCTCTGTTTTAGTTTTGGCCAAATCTCCAGCAATGTAAATTCATTGAGGATTATGATTCTTTACCTTTTTTTTTTTTTTAATACTGAAAAATCATACTTTGTTTTGTATGTATGCAGATAGCATCCGTAACAACAAAAATATTTTTGCTAGGACATTTTACTTTGAGGAAACAGAAGCATTTCATAGAAGTAAGCTGTACAGCCTATTTCTTATAAACATGGATATAAGTTTTAAAAAATATTGTATCTGGAAGCTAGCTTCAAATGAAAATATGAAATAATTACTGCTTCTCCATAAATCAGAATTATCATGACAACAATACAAGCCTAAGTAGAAAATAATACAGGCATAATCTCAGAATACTTTTCAAACGTTACTTTAGTGACATATCTAGAGAAAGTAAAGTCATAGTACATAGTGCACATAGTGCAACTCCCCATATCAGGTCATCTGTTAAATGCAGCAATACTCTAAAAAGTAATGTTTCTTGCAGGCAGAAAGATCACACTAAAGAATAAGGCATTCCACTAAAACGTATTCCAATTTCAAAATTCACACAGTAGAGGAAGAAATTATTTTCCTTTCCTAACTGTAAAAAATGGTTACCCCATTCTGATTAGTCACATCTAAGAAAAAAACAAACTCACTCAAACCTGTTGGCCCCAAGTCAGTATTGTACAGTGCAAAGTTAAGTCTGAAATATTTAGAAGTTGTTTCACTGGAATGCATGAAGCTCTATGATGGTACAGTAGACTACCTGCTGCCCAAACCAGGATCTTATAATTTTAGCTCTGGTGTTTTATCAAGAGCACAAGTTGCATTTGCAGCAAAGCTTGTAATAAAGTCAAGCTTTTAGCTTTCAAATTGACATGTTCAATGTGCAATTCCTAGGGTACAGTAAATACTTCAGAATTATATTCCTGTAAATATATTGTACAATGTATTTTCACACAGTAACTTCTTAAAATAGAACTACCTATTTGGATGCAAAAATATTATTTTCTGACTTATGAAAGACTGACACATTTGATTGTTTTGCTGAACTACTGTTCAGTAGGAAACACTAAAACATCATTGGTCTAACATATTGGAAAAGAGAACAATATCAATTGTTCTGTAGTTTGTATTGTTAGTGACCAAGAAAGGGAACTTAAAATAATTATCAAACTCTATTCTTAAAATTTGTTGCTCCATTTGGAATAGATGTCATCAAATATAGAACTGTGTGTTGACATGATACAGGGGAACAATGTTTTCCTCCTAAGTGGCAAGAGGGCAGAAATAACAAGTGAAGTGATCATATTTGAGCCTTAAATGAGGGTATAGTGTAAACAAGTAGAAATAAATAATTTGCTATGGAGTATCAAAATATTACCAGAACAGAAAGATAAAGACTGATTAACTAAAAATATGTTTATGAAGAATGCTAATGGATTTACACTACCAGGTTTCATCATAGGTACAAAAGAGCTTTAGAAACAAATTCCAGTGCTTATTCAGAAAAGTGCAATGCCTTGCTAAGGAGGTACTTCGGGATGTCTGAAGTAAAATCTCCCCCTGAGAGGTATAGCTGTCTGTGAGAAACTGACAGGTTCCTCTCAGGAAGGACAGTAGTTTAACACTTCATACCTTTTAAAGGCCATCTGAAGCTAATTTTCATCATGCCTATCAAGCCACTAAGTAGGGATGTTGGTAAGTGTGTTCATTCTTTCAATACTTGCTCCAAGAGCAGAATTACTTTTTACTTGTATATCTGTCTCAAGGATATATGTCATAGGAGAGCCATAGCCCATTTCAAAGGAAGGAACTAAACTGTTATATGTTATTTAATTTAGGGCACTCAAGTTTAAAAAAAAATAGGAAAAAAAACTATGTTGTGATTGTAGTTATGGCCCAGTAGTCATGGGAATCTGTCACAGATGCTTGGATATTAGGTGTGATTTAAGCAGTCATGCTAACATTCCAGGCAAAGGGTTAAAGCAAGATGCCCTAGAGATTTTACAATAGCATTTTGAGAAGTTTATGTGTTAGGAAAATGCAGGTGCCTGGTTCCCATGACTAACCTGAGAGAGATCTGTTATAGAAATAGCCCTTTCATGCTTTTCTGAAAAAACAACCATCTCACATCACATATGGTTTCTATTACCTTCATAACTCATTGCACTGTGCACATTTCATTTTAGGCCTGAGTAGTCCATGTCTCTCCACTGGCTGCAACAAGAAATGGATTCTGCATTAAACAAGTTAACTGACAAGCGCTCCAAGACCTTGTTCAAGCAGCCAGGCAAAGTAAACCTTATTACAAATCTTTTTTCTTAAACTGTTTTAATAAATAATACCAACCTGTGTATTGAAGATGCATGGGGTGTCCTACATACAGCATGTCAATATGGGGTGGATGTTTTACCCTGATTAGCCTTGTTTGGTTCTCTAAAGAAGGAGTCACACAAAAGCTTGGAACAAAGTCCTTCTGGCAGTCCATGTTGGTTCGACAGACTTTGCTGGCCTCAATAACTTTTCGTGCTGGCAGACAGGCATACTGCAAAGGGCATTTAAAATGATTATCAAATTTAAAGGTATTTTCCAACAGATCAAAATAAGAGATACTATATATTCCTTTTTAAAGCAAAGGAAGTGCCTCACTGATATACTACCAGCCCAAGAAATCAGATTTAAATTCTGATTTTTGGGTGTTTTCTGTCAAATCCTGCAGAACCTTTATCTGATACATATTCAAACTGTCATTCCATTTTTGGTGGAATGTAGAAGAGGGGGTGTGCACATGTACCAAAAGAAAAGCTAACTATTTTTAAGAAGGCACACACACACATCCCCCAAAAAAATCAAGGCATCTAAACATAATTCAGTGATTTCTAATGAACAGAGCCTGCATCAACATACCAGCAACTTACCTGTTTTAAGAAGTTTTAGTCTTCACTGATCTACAACCTCATGTGGCTGAACAAAACCAGCAAACAAGCCAACAAACCTACCGGCTGTGTGGTAGCTAAGAAACCATTCTCAACTAAGATGAACATAGGACTTAATGCAGTGCTGTGTCCCAAGTCCTACCCATAACACTGTTTCACTCTGCAGATCGTTCTTGCTCCCCACAGGCCAAAGAATATAGTAGAAAGGAACAGGAAATTAGGTTTTCCCAGTCATGTTTCTTGTAAAAGCTCAGTGATAATTTTATTTTTGTTCTTAAACACAAGCAAGTTCTTCAGCCTTAGGAAAAAAAAAAAAAGAAGAAGAAAAAAAAAAGTATTTTCTTGCTTTTTAGCTTGATAGTTACATTCCCCATAGATGCACGAGTGTCTGACACTCTCTATTAACCTCAATACAAAATGCTTCTATTCTAATGCAGGGGAGAGGGCACACTTTCAAATACTGCTGTATAGCACTGCAAAGACTATTTAAAATAATTGTTCAAAAACTCACAGCCAGTCTAAGGACACTTGAAGGTCACAGGCTTCTGGATGCTTTTATTTCTTCTCTGTTCCTAAGTAGCAGCTATGAGCTTAAGAATGTCAAAGCTCAGTGGGGTAGCGATTTATCAAATCTTGCTGAACTCCAGGATGTTACCAGCCACTGTCATATTTCAAATGAACTACTGGTCTGTGCTCAATTCTTAGTGGCTAAATACCACAAAAACACCCTGAACTGGGAAGTTTAACACTGTAGAAACTGTAAACATAGCAGATACAGGAACAGAGTTATTTTGATTTCTTTAGGTATTTATCACTAGAGGTCAGAACAATAACAAACTGGTATGTGTGAAAAGTTTACACAGTTGGTACTTGTGCTCTTTTTCTTGTAAACAGAACTGTTAGAAATATTACATCACTGGATCATATATTTTAGCAAACATTTCTGTAGTTAGAAGAGAGTAAGTCAAAATCCTGCTGAGAAACTTCGTGTTTCCACACGTTATAAGAAAATCAACATCATGACAATGGAATCAAATAGAGGCCCTGATTTTGAGAAATTGGGCAATCTCTTAAACCTCCTCTTGCATGCTTCTAGTTTAACCTAATGAGCAGCACTGCTGGCTTCAGACAAAATAACTGAACAGATAGTCCAGTGCTTTGCTCTGCCTGTAGTGCTCAGTAATTTTAAATACTGAGGCACCAAAATAAGCAATTTCACCTTGTTCACAAAAGTTGTTTTTTCTCACCAATATTCTCACTCGGTGGTGAAAATGGGGGAGGTGTCTTTATGCGTTAAGGAATGAGGAGTATAAGACCTTTTATGGTTCTTCTAGAGACGCCCTGATTGATAATGGGAACAAATCATAACTAATTTAAATAATTTCAGATTTACCAAACATAATTTATCAGTTTAAGTAACTTACCAGGTGGCTGTCCAAGTTATTGCTATATGAAAAGCAAATATCTGTGAGGCTGTTGTTACTACAACATTCAACTGTGCCATCAAGTCTTCTATAAACTAAAGAACATAGGCATAGAGCAAATGATCAGTGTTATAGTAGCTTCCTGAAAAGAAATCAGTCTCTCAATAAAGTAAAACAATCATTATGTAGCCTTCAAGAATTACAGTAATTCACAGAGCCTAGCTGTGGTTCAGTTACAACTAAAAATAAGCTTCCCCACTTTAACAATGTCACCTGATTTCAATCATGTCACATACCAAGTTTTTCATCTTAATAAATCTCCTTGAGATACTGAGGATCTACCACTGCAATGTTCTAAGCATTATAAGTTACCAAATACTTTTATCCGTTGCCCTCAACTCGCATTAAGGTTTGGCACAGGAATTTGTTACCTGCTACTGTATTGATTTCACTTGTTGGCTATGGAAATGATAAAGACTCAAAATGTCCTCTTTAAAATGTGAAAGCCTTTACAAGATTCTGGTTTTGAAAGCTTTCCAAGACTTGAAGGCTGCAGCAGTGAACAAATGATGCTTTAAACTGTGATTTAAATAGTCTGGTAAAGAATCTTTGTACAGATGTTCTTTAAATGAATTAAACCTAACTTACTGTAGAACAACAGCTTTTAAAAAACCCACAAAGGAACAGTCGCTGTAAGGATCTGTGTCACAGCAACACTGCAGTACCTTCCTTAGGTAGATCAAGCCTGTGATACTGGTCGCTGATTTATCACTGCATAAGCTGCAGTCTGCTAACACGGAGCTTTATGCCTGGGGTTTACAGGTGCAAGCATTGAACCATACAATCCTTTTTTCAAGTATCCTGCGGCTAAACAACCACATATATTTTTGAATAGTGAATGACCATGAAATTAGTTTCCCTATAAACTACATTGAAAACACTTTTTTTTTTTTTTTTTAATTTCAAGAAGGTCCTTGGGGCATTGTTTTCTGTCTAGCTTCATATTCAAATAGTTTACTCTCCATTTGTTTTATGGTCAAGTAGATAGGGTCCATTTGCTAGATACATTTTTATTGATATTCTGTATTTATGTCAAGTTGTGAACTGTCAAGATTTTGACAAATGACAGCTGCTGGAGACCATACAGAGTTCATTTAATTTCAGAGGAATATTTCTCACTGCTGGAAGCTTATGGCTCTGAAAATGCAGACAGACTGGTCTGATTAGAATGCAGGAGTGGGACAATGGGCTGCTAACACAATACAGAAACCAAGCTTGGAAGCAATATTGAGTCTCTAGTATTAAGTCTCTAGTATTTCAATCTAAATAGGACTGGTTCAGTTGCAGAATATGCAGTTTTATTAACTATGACTCTGGTATTGCATTTCAGAGAACAGCAGAATCTGAGTGTATATACCTACAGCATCTAAAGAAATGGTTCTTACTTGCCATCCTTGCCCAGCTGAAAGCATGTGCCAAAGTTGCCCTCTTCTTCAGAGAGATAATCCAAACTGTCTCTAAAAGCAGGATCTTACCCACACTCCGCTAGTTTCCAGTTTAAATATTTATCTTGGTGCCAGTTGTAAGACTACTTTTCTTACATACTAAAAAAAAAAAAATTACCTTTTCAGTCTCACAAGAGAACTATGTCTGAAAAAACATAGGTAAGTTGAACTGCCTAACCTCCTGTTTACTTCCAGTATAATGGAAAAAATACTGTGACAATTTTCAAGTTCTGAATAGCATCATATAGGTTTTGCTCAGCTGCAGCCCCTTACCTTTGGAATTCAGTCTCCATGGATGCTTGCATGAAACAAACTCTAGAGTGCTTTAGAGCATGTCACAAGACATTCAGCCAATTTAACTTGACTTTTGTTCTACTTAATTTTTGTTTATTGTTCTAGTTTAGTTCAGTTCACATATTTTTTGTTTCTCAGGGGTAAGCATTACAGAAACAAGCACTCTAACTATAAATGAAAACAGAGGAAATAGACTGACTACTAGAAGCAATATGTGCAATCCAGACAAAACTGAGTTTATGGGCAATGATATTGTGAGGTTGAAGAAACAAATGAAACATAAAACCCATACAGTGAGACACATCAGAAGTGGCCATAATAAAGCACATCATTGTGATAAGTCATATAATTTGTAATGTCATGCTGATTAAAGCAGTAAGATAATGTGTGGAATTTACATCTGCAAAAAATCACTGAGTTGATCCACATAACTAAAAATAGAAGAGATAATTGTATTACTGCTAATAGCCAAGTTATGCAATAACCTCAAGAGACAAATTTCATTCTTCAGATCATACAGACTATTTCTATAGGATGACTGAAAGACCATAGAAAATCTTCTATCTACCTCTTCCTCACTTTCAGATTTCACAGAAATGCATGGCATATCGGTCACTGCTTAAGACAGAATAGCAGGCTCAACTTAGGAGAAAATGGTCCCCATCGACAAATCCTAAATCCAAAATAGTCTTTAAGACATGATAAAATTAAAAGTCATACCTCTAGCTGGAAAGCTTAATTGCTGTAGGGTGGCTGCACTTATACAGTAGCCAACCTGTGACTTCTCTGAAATGTCTCCCAGACAAGAATTCCAGTCTTCTACACTATAAACCGGGCAGTCTTGTAGGTTAGTGACAAGGTCTCCCACAAAGAGACCTCTTGGTCCATTGGCAGGAGAATCCTGAGAAGAAACAGTAAAGTCAGTCATGTTATTATAATTAAAACTACAAGGATTTGTTTACAGTACTGCCAAATAGCCATGAAATCTTTAGGTTAAGACACTACTTCCAGAGAAATAGAAAACCTCATGCTACACTAGAACTGATTATTTCAACCTATGATAGAGCATTACAAAAACAACCTCCTGTACAAAGAATAACTTAGTTATTGCAAAGAAAAAGAAAAGAAAGGGGAAGTCTCCAAGTGTTCTGGAGGACATCTTCAAATTTGAGTAATTGTTTTCATGTAAGTCAGTATGCTGTGGTTTTTCTTACCATTTTAAGTTCAAAAAGCTTAAATTAATACCCTGAACCTTTCAACAAAGCAGGGTGTACCTATGTTTTTGAAGGTATAAAGCATAATGTCACTCTCCTCCTAAGTTACATCAGTTCACTTTTAGATCCAAGAAAGACTGAATCCTTTCAGCTCTGCTATTTGACTGTGCTGTATTTGAATAAGTCAAAACCAAATCAGTTCTTTCCAGAAACTCAGCAGTCCATCTCTAGTTTGCTTCCAGCTGACGAAAGCAGCAAGGAAAGCAGCTTGAAATAATATTTAACATTAAATCCTGATAGCAGTAACTAGAGTGATAATGCAGTTTCCAATAGATTCACTTGGCGCCAATACTTTAAAAAAGTTAACACACCACCACTCCCCCCGACCCTGAAATAAGCCTGCAAACTCATCTAAATGGTTTTATAGTATGTTGAATAGTCTAGAATTATTCATGTCATGTTTCTTCACTTACTAATACTAAAAAACATGACATCGAGAAGAAAACTTTAAGCAGACAAAAAGTGCAATGTATTAGATTCTGCAGAGTGCTGTGCTGACCAAATTTGACTGTGATAGTAAGAGACACAGGTACATTTCAGGTCACAAAGCATATAATATGAAAATAGTAAAGATTTTTTCTTACCTCTGCAACTTCAGTGACAAGGGCACCAACACCCGTGTAATAGAAGGGGAAAAGAATGGCTGGCAGCAGAAACAAACCCATGAAACTTGCAACACCAAGAACAAAGTTATGCCACACTCCTAAAAAGAAGGAAAAAAAATCACATTTATAAATAAACACAAATAACAAAAAGGTGGTTTTGAAATGCAAATTCTACAGTTACCTTCTAATTAACTTTCCTTAAATAATTAAGAATAGATGAAAAGTTAATTTGTGAACATAGGCATGAAAGAAGAATATGTATATTACTTTTCAAAATTAGATATCTACGATGTCACTTTGCAGGGGAGTTTTAGAAAAGCCTCTGAACATCTGAGAATTATACTATCAGAAAAGACAGGGAAGTGCTACATTTTTAAGGTGTTATTCTACCATATTGGTATTTCATCACATAACACTACTCTTCTATATAGTATGTAGTGGGCAGAGAATCTAGAAGAAAAACTGGGCTTCTGAATGAATTCTTAAACTACAGTTTCTATCTACAGAGTTGTTATCAATCATAAATATTGAAAAAACAGTGGAATGAAATGTATTACTTGTCACCTTCTACAACAAACTGTTGAATTTAAAAATCTTAATCAGTGGGTTTTTATGTGAATAACTACTGTTTGTCCTAGTCAGCAAGATGGATAAAGTTTAGATGCAATTCGGTACTTTTCATGGTTATCTCCATTGTATCAATGAAAATAATTACATGTATATGTGCCAAACAAGTTTAGAAAATTATTTGAAAAAAGGCTTCTTTTACATGCAAATCTGTGCCTAAAACCACATCAAGAAACTAAGTTGTGCAATCAGTATTTCCTGACACATTATTTTTGGCAACATGTTTTCAACTGCAATCTTTATAGTATGCTGTTCTCCATAGAAAGAAATTAATTGCTATCATAAGACACACTTGGCTTCCTTCAACATCCAGTACTACACACATTTTCTCATTTCATTTCTGTTCTTGAACAAATGTTTTGTATGACCAATGAAGGAAAATTTTTGAATCTTGAAGAGTCCTGATTTCCTACTTACAGTGCTTCATGTTGTTAAGAGGGGTTTGATTCAATTCTATATTTACAGTACAGTTACAGGACAGGAACTGAAGTAAATATATTTTAAAACATATTAAAGATATCTTGCACTACATGTAACACAGGAATCGTAACATAACTATTATTTTCCCTGGATATCTCTACATGTCACCTGGTCTTCTTTTACAATGTTTCTGATGCTGCAGAAATGAGAGACATTTTTGGAGTACTTTAACTACAGGTTTGTTTTCATTTCCACTAGTAGATGCTTCTTAAAGTGTTTTCTCTTTCTGTAAGTCTTTAATCATCTAATTGAAAGGCAAACAGATAGATTAAATGTTTCAGCATGCACTTATCTTCATCTCACACTTATACATATACGCATACACACAAGTGCAACAAACCCCGAAGCATTAAGTAACTATTTTAACTTAATTGTTTTAACCTTTTTATCTTAAAAATAATCTTTTTTTTTTTTTCCCCCAGCTAAAGAAAGGATAAAATCTAGGATGGAAACAAAATTTCTTTGTAACAGTGTGGCTGCTAGAGAGAGTAAACTGGGAAAAAAAAAAAATAAAAAAAAAGAGGTGATGGAACTGCTGGATGGTGAACAAGGAATACTTTAAAACAGTTAGGAAAACATGGGTCTTAATACCATAATCTACACAGTTTACTGTGTGGAATACAGCAGAAAAGCCTAAAATAGAAAGACTTCAAATTCATACCAAGCAATCCATAGAAAAACAGGCTCAAAATGAGAATACCTGTAGATGCACACTGTTGAGTATACTATCAATTTAATTTTGCTAAAACAGCCTCATCCTTGGATACCTATTTGCTTATATTTAAAAAAGGACACTTTATACAACCCTTAAAAGACCTTAAAATAATGTTCTGAAAATCTTTAACTCCTTTTTTTCTGTTAAAGACAAGAATAAATGTCTTAAAAAAGATCTCAAAAATAATATGAATATTTGAACTAATTATAAGAAAGTGTTTCACAGAAGCACTTTTCATTTACTAGGCATAGAATTAATGCTAAAAATATCACAAGTCTTACAAGAACGCTCATTCACTATTCTTGAACTCATGATGCCATCTGCTGTACAACAAATACACTCTTTAATCTCCATAGGTGGGCTACAAAAGGAATATTCGGTGTTGTTTTCTACTCTAGCTGTTTTACTTAGCTGCTATAAAAAAATCTGAAAGCATATCTCTGTAAATTTAGATCTCCTGAACACTGAGAATAGGTCCATTCATTTGCTCTGACAATTAAGAAAAACTGAGTCAAGTTTACACATTTTATCATTATCAAACATCCTAGTTCTGAAACATACCTATCATTCGCTGGAAAAAAAAGAATATATTTGTTCTATCTAACTGATAACAAGCCATTGATGCTAACCAGTCTTGCAACATTTGTCCCTACCCTGTATCCCTATTTCACGTTTCCCACTAAACCTGAAAAAAAAAAAATTATAGGTGTTTGCTTTTCATTAAAAATATGCAAGCAATTATTTTCTATTACAGCCTATAATCTTATTTTTCTAGATTATTTCTCAGGAATGTATGTAAGAAACCATTTTGAAAATCAGTGTCTTCTCTTTCAGTTCTGTTCACAGTAGCTGGAAATGGAAATTGATTAATTTGAGAAACAGGGCTTCATAAAAGTTAGCCTATTGCAGTGAATAATTTGGGTCATTATGGTATTTGTAATACAGATATTTTTACTTACCTAACATTTATTGTCATTTACTTGATTTATGAAAGCTTGAAAATACGCTTTGCTAAAGGCTTCAGTATGTCCAGCCTAAAAGCCTCTATATAATGTTTTAGTTACAATATTCAAGAAACAATGTTGATTTCTAAACATTACAACAGGTTGACTGCTATCTTACTGTCCCCTGCAATAGAAAAACATCAGTATCAAGAACTAAACCAAGATGTTAACTTTTCTATCTTTATTTCATCAGTTTGGGAACCACCTTTGTCTCTAGAAATCAATAATACAAGTGATTCAAGTAGCATAACTCAGTCTCAGTCTAACTTGCCACAGCAACAGGGCCTTACTTGCCAGTAGTCAGAGATTTAAAGAAAACCATCAAATCAAAAACATTTGGAGGTTATTTGGAGCCATAGCTGTGATTCTCTTTGGATGTTTGTGCTTTAGCTTTTACTTCCTCCTGATGGCAACATCAAAACACAGTGACCTGAATAATAACATAACTCGCACATTACTGAAAATCGCTCACAATACTATTGAGAAATCACATAATAGATTGCTTCTACTGCAGAAAATGCTAGCAAATTGCTCAAGGGTGCTCTCCTGTGACAGCAAGTCATGTTCGCAAACCACCAGTCTTTTCTGACTGAGTATTTTCCAGCTTGTGTGCTCCAAGGTTCTGCTACTTAGGCCATACAATATGAAAAAAAAAAAAAAAAAAAAAAGCACCTGGGCTTGTGTAAGAGCTTTTTCTATTGAGAGAGGAAGGTCAGAAACCACATTTTTTTACCCAACCACACAACTGGAATTTCTTATGCACAACTATTCCGAATCAGATCTAGAATATAATAATGTTTTTCATGACAGGAAACTGGCACTCATTTAAGCTCCTAGAAACTGACATCTCTTCTCCAGAAAACATCACAATATGGACAGTAATGATCAAATGATTTGTTGAAAATGCAATTTATGTTCAGAACAGAAGGATCTCCTTTAGGTAAAGGGAAGCTTTTGTACTTCTTCATCCATCCATCAAGGATTCACAAACGATGCCTGTAGAATAAGTAACTGCGCTAAGTAAAGATTTAATAAAAAAAGCACAAACTATTACCTGCACAAAATATCCTTAATTGTTGGACTGGAGATATTAGTTGCAAGTGCGTTGTGAAGAGGTCAACAAATGCTCCAGGATAGACAATGAAGATAAAAATCCCAAATCCATTAAATCGCACTTGTTCTCTTAAAGAGAAGAAAAACAAAGTGATGTTACTGTAAACAAACAAATGAAAAACTGAGAGATTCTACATTGTACACCTTTTGACAATGAAAATAATTAAAGTTTTATAATTATAAAACTAACTTATTTTTTGTAGTGTGAATAACTGAAAGATAATTAAACTAAAGGATGTTTTCTTCAGTAGTTGCCACTTCTAAGCAGTACACATTTGTGAGCCTGGTAAAAAATAAGTGATAAATTCAACTTTTTTTCTGTCTCCTGGTAACAGTAACACATAAAATACTTAAAAAACCCCAATATTTTAAAGTCAACATATATTTTAACATTTGGGGTTTTTTTTAACATAAAAAATGTCAGCCTGTAGGAAGCAGTTTCAAACTACTCTATGAAAGATTAGCTGGAAGAAGCGATCACTTTCCTTTTAAATAAACATTTAGAGATTTCTGGAATTTATCAATTCTCTGTTTCTCCTAAATGAAATTTAAAATAAATTGTAAACTTAACAAAAAATGAGGGAAATCTCATCTGAAAAAAAAGAAAACTAGTGAAAAAGTTAAAAGCATAAATGTTATTTAAATATATTAGTAGCTGACACTATCATACAGGTTGGTTGTTTGGTTTTTTTGTTGTTGTTTGGTTTTTTGTTTGTTTGTTTGTTTTTTTGTTGTTTTTTTTTCCAGAGGTTTTACAATTGCTTTTAAATGGCACTTTTTGGAATAACTATGTAAAGGTTTTATGAAACTAGAAATTTCATAAGGGAGGCATGACACCCGTGTTCCAAGACAATTACATTCCGATTATTATTCTAAGACAATCATGTTCCAAGGCAAACCAGGCAGAGATCAGTTAATCCCATATCTTTACTGAGACAGTACACTAGGCACATTATTTACTTATTCATATTTACTTATTTATTGTGCATATACAATAAAAGAAGACACAAAATTATACAAAATTAATCAGGATTAATTCCCTGGAGTTAATTCATCAGACCTACCCTTGCTACCAATTAGTAATAGGCAGTCTAATGCCTATACATGATTTCATGACTTGGGTAGGAGATACAGAGGGAAGAAAACAGGCTTTTTTGGCACAAACCTTGACTAAGCTAATATTTTAATCTCTACTATCTTGAATTGAAGTTGACAAAAGTGTATTGGATTTCAAGGAGTCAAATTTGACAGAATAATAAAATTCGCACATAGCACAGCTATTTAGTAAAGCCTAAATCCTGAGGATTGACCCTAACAGCACTACAGACCCAACCTGTGCTAGGGGGGGAAAAAAATAAAAACAGTCAATCAGAAGACAGTAGCACCAATGTACTTAGACAAACTAATTTTACCCCTGGAAATAGATGGGAATCAATTTTTTGACAAAAACATAACCCAAACTTGAATATTCAGAGCCTTTGCTCCACATCCTGAGTGAAGATATCACACCACTAAGGTATAAGAATTACTCATTCTGGTTAAAAAGAGCTCTATAGTTACTTGTGGCTTCTCTGCAGTTAGCCAGCAGCATGTGAAGGCACTGTAAGAGAAAGAAAATTTTGTGGCTTCTTCCTGTGGTGGGATAAGAAAGGGCAAGAGCTTCATCCTCCACAGAAAAATCCCTGTGGATATTTAAGAGGAAAAAAGCCGAAACACAAACAGAGCATGAGAAGCAGAGAGGATCCCAAATCACCCCTTTAATTGAGAATTTTTGGGTTATAAAAAAGGTTGTAATGTGTTAAGATGCAGTCATAACTACCTACACTCAGGAAAATCAGAGAAACAGCTTAGGGCTTTATGCTCATAGGTCAGATGATGATGTCCAGAAGAAATGATGAGGACACCTGAGTATCAGTTCCAGTAACCACAGCTTAACCCTCTTATGCTAGAGTGTGATTTAACAGTAAGGCCTAACCATGTCAAATAACATTTCTGTGAAGCAGTCATAGTTAGGTGACATTAAAAATATCACCTTTGGTCAAAATTAACACATTGCTTAGATTAATGGGGGCAAATCACATTTGACGGAGTTACTGTTTCAGGCTGTTAAATGCTATGTTTAAAGAAATCCATTTTTAAAATGTTAAAGTGCCATTGTGCAATAGCGCATGGGCCCTCTTCAAGTCCCACAGCAGCTGAAATACAATTGCTGTGTGAAAAACAGGACCACTTAAAAGAAGTATTATTTTAAATCCGATGCAGCATGGTATATTTACAAAGTAGAAGTCCTTTCTCAGGATCTGTAGAATAGACACTGTATTAAAACTCTATCCTTAATTATACACCCTTCTAAACTTAAAATCTAAGGAAGCAATGAAATACAGAATGGACAGACTCTCGAGATAAAGCAAAGCAGTGCTAACAACATTCACCTGTAAGTAAATGCTCTGGAATATTGGGCTTTGTTAGCACATAGTAAGAGAAAAGTAATTTGTATTACCGAATAGCTGCCACCCCATGGCCGACTTCATGTATCACACCACTGATGAGGATTGCAGAGAAGAAATAGGTCAGCTGGCTGACAGGCAAATTTACACCAGGCACCTGTTGATGTGGGCATGACAACAAAACAAAACAGAGGAAGAAACCAAGAGGTACAAAGATGAATCATTCTGCCGCTAAACTTGCTGTTCTCACTCAGCTTCTCCAGACCCGCAACAGAACAGGCCATTCCAATGCAGCGCTATCAGTTTGTGCCTCTTCTTCCAGTTTACTCAATGTATTTTAAAACATATATTATTTTGTTGAAGATTGAAAAGCTCTCCAGGTGCAAAAGCCTTCTCCCTGCCCTACTTATTCCCCACAGCCCTGACCAAATGTGTCCTACTCTATATTAGGCTCAAGAAGTTTATAAAAATGTATACAGACTTTCACTCAAACGAAACAGGCTTAGCAACTATGAGCATTCGTTTACAATCTCCTGCAGCTAGCCATGTAAAAAAAAAAAAAAATTAAAAACTGTATGGCACTTAAAACACCATTAGCCCTAAAAGTTCAAAAAATAAGCTTACAACTGGAACTATCAGTCTCCCTTCTCTCTGCCTATTCAATTCAGAAGACTATCTCAAATTTACAAGTTTTGGCAGTCTACATGCAGCAATTTAACTTAAAAAAAAAAAAAAAAGCACTTGAAAGGAGTATACTATTTTAATTTATGTAATATGCATAATATGCATACATAATATGCAGGCCTCTCAGATTCCTCCTGTTGCTGTGGATTCCCACCACTCCCCAAGTCCTTTGCTGCACTAGTCATGAGACACTGACTGCTTCCAGATGGGCTTCAAAGCAGTCACGAGTCAGAGAATGAGGAACCATCCCCTCTTTCCTCCTGCTCGGTTCCTACCCCTGCTCAGCTGCCGCACCGCAATGGCATAAGGCCACTTCTTCTGTTGCTTGCTCTGGGACAGTTCTGGCTGCTCCACAGCTCTGCCGGCTCAAGGCAGGGTGCACTTCACTAGTCACTAACAACTGATGTGAACACAACTTGAATTACAATCCAGTGACAGAAAAGAGATGCTAATGGCAAAAATTCCTGGCCTGTATACAGGACTCTCTAAAAACTACCCCTGTGGGACACAAAAGGCTGCAGATCCTATTTGATTCTAACTTCATTCAGTTCTGCACATTTCTCAATTATATGCATTCACCTACCCATGCAGCAGAACTCTACAGTAGGTTGGTGAGACAGTCTAGCTAAAAGAAATCATTCAAATGACGGTTTTCATTACTGTTAAACTGAATCACTTCAAAAATTCTGTCCAGAGTGTGATCATGACCAAGATAGTACAACTGGCACAACTATCGTACGTCACTGTATGAAGACAGCTGCTCTTCATCCGTTAAGCATCCACTGCTTGTATTACAGCATCAGCTGGGGGCACTAATGCATCAGTTAACTGGCGTTGCCAGTGGCCCTCTGCTCCGGGCACGTGGGAGGACAGTCATCAATAGCAAGAGTTGCCATCTTAATCCCACCATGACCTGTTAGAACACAGCAATGGATGCTTTCAGACTCCATGTCAAAGAAGCTAGTTTAAGATTCACCTAAAAGGGAAGCTAACTCTCATGAAGGGTTCTGAAATCAATAGCAATATTTTGTTAATAAGCAGTGTCACCTTACAGTTTATGTTTTTCTGGAAATGCCCTTAGTAAAAGAAGACCCTTTGCTAGTAACTGATCTGCTGCTTTCACAGTTTTGTGGGAAATCAACACAAGAGGAGACAGCTGAAGAAAAACAGCCCAGTTACCTATAGGTGGGTATTTTAAGTAAAGTACATGACTGAACAAAAATCTTAATCAATAAAACATAAGCAGAACTGTATCTCCCTCTCTCCATAGCCAGAGGTTAAAGGCTAAACAGATTTATGGCACAGGCTAAAGTTGACTTACAAAAAAAAAGTTTGTTGTTTTTTTTTTTTAAATCACTCACACTCTTTCAGGCAGTCAAAACCAAATAACTAATTTAAATGAGGAGAAGGTTCTCTTGACTTGTTCTTCATCTCTTTGCAACAACATATGGATCACTTCATTGTGTCAACTTATGCCAGCACATTCCCCTCAAAAAGAATTCTGAACACTTTAAAAGCAGAATTATACAATGGGGACCATTCAGAAATGAATGAATGAGGTAGGAAAGAAAGAGAACCACAAGTTAACTTAGAAGTAACCTTATCCCCATACTTTGCATTACTTTATCCATATATATTACATCTTTTTCAGTGCTAGTCTGTCCTTGGTTTGAATGAAGTGATATTGCCAGTATGCAGTCACTGAGAAATCAAATCCACATTAAAAGTGTGAACATTATCCTAGATTTCTGCTTTCATTGTTCCAAATCACACAAGATTAATTCCAAAGGCTCATCTTTACTTTGGTTGCCCCTAAGTTATTTTCTCCAAAGAGTAATATATTGCAAATGACCACTTTCCTCTGTTGTCACAAAAGTGGATAGATCCATTTAATAATCTCAGAAAACAAAGACGTCAAGGAGGCTTTTCTTACTCCAGAATGTAACAGACAGACATGCTTAGGATAGATCTTGTTCGCATGTAAATTAAAAATTTTCTGTCTCATGTTCAACTTGTGCTCTACTGGATGCACAGCCTGCTCATCCTGTCTGCTTCTGAAGACAATTCAGGAGCAGGCTGCGAACCAGGTGACTGCTGTGGCAGTACTAGCCAGTTCTCTCTCAGAGAACTTGTTGCCTGCTTCTGTCAACACACACTGCATTTGCTATATTCACCCTGCGTGTGTGAAACAGACCCAAACTGTCCCAAAGGCACTGAGTTTATGGCACGTGCTAATGATTAGGCTTCCTGCACTCATGCAATTTTTTACGTCTAGCTGCATGCAGTCAGTTTAGCACTTATGGGAGGGCCTATCATGGCAGCACAGAATTCCCAACTTCTGTTCACTAGACTAGCTGAGTACTAAAACCGTTGGGCATCCCTGCTCTAAGCCATGCAGCAGAAGTCAGGGCAATCTGCATTTCTGGAAAATGACTTACATTCTAGCCTGATAGCACTCTTGGGGAAGTAAGAGTGGCTAGGGATCCTTTCAGGTTAAAACTGCTGTAAGGCAATGTCAGTTCTGCCATTACTTACTTTGCGTAGAGACAAAAAAGACAGTATTCACAATCTCTCTTATTCTGTGAAATACATTCCTTTATAATACATACAATATACTGTCCAGCATCAGAAATCCATAAAAACAATTAAATACATTGTTATTAGGCCTTTGACTAGATACTACCAGAAACAGCACTTTCAATTTCGGACTGTAAATTAAGGCATAAGTCCTTAAACAATCAAAAAATATGCCATCTCCTCACTAATGAATTGTTGCTTACAATATTACACAATGCTCTTCATGCTTTTTTCCTTTTCCACTGATGTTCTGTATGCTAAATGAAATAGAACTCCTCTCTTCTTCCAGGTTATGGATGTGCTTTGCAAACTTTAAGGCCACCAGTGCCTCTACATTGCACAGCTCAGAGGAGGCAAATTCTTAGCTGTTTTGTACTCTTAGTAATGTGATAATTTAGGGCTTTTCAACATTACTAACCAATTCCCACTCCTGAGAATTTTTAATATAAACTCTTCCATGTTTGTCTTTATTATTCTTCCTCCTTTTACTACCTCCACTCCCTATTTTTAAGGCTGATAACAAACCAGAAAATTTTTATGTAGAGGAGTATGAGGAGTTAGGCTGTTCTGCATGGGAGGATTTAAGCATCACATACCCCATTAAAGCAGCTGGTTAAGATCAGCTCACAACTCTCAAATAAAGACCTGAGGAGAGAACACTTACCACAACTTGCAGCATACGATCATTCTGGGCTTTTGGTGCCTCGGTGAGCATCTGTGTCAGGGTTTGCACCAGTGTCTTTCCAAGAAGAATAACAGAGCCAAACATGGCAAGTACACCAAACACCATTCCTATGCTGAACCTACAAAGAGAAGCAAATAGTGTACATTTTTCTGGATGTGTAACTGCTTTAGCACAACTTAGTACAGAAAACTCATAGGGCAAAACTTACCTGATGCTGCTACCATTCATGTATCAATAATCCAGTCTAAAAATATTAGCTAAAGGAAACTAGCAACAATAATAACATATACTAATAACACTAATATCATATAATATTTTCCCTGTTTAGTAAATGTTTTACATCCAAACCACATCATAATTAATTTTCAAATATTTTTATGTTGTTCTTACATACTCTAAATTTTATTCAGTTACCCAATGCATGTAACTTGCCATAGCTATGAATGTAAAAACATAACTAACAATGTATAGTTTACCACATTGCGCCACACCATCACATATTTAGAGACCTGGATCAAATGATGGGGTATCATCCATATTTACTTATATAACCTTTTTCAGTAAAGTTTAAATTTTCCTCACAAACAATAAAGAATGCTAAAGAACAATAAATGAGATTCAACCTTTTTTAAAAAAGGACATCTAAAAGGTGCAACTGCAAGACTAGATTAAAATGAATTACTTAAAACACATTGTTCTTCTCACCAATTTATTTTTCACTAAAATCAGTGTTGAAAATTTCAGCTTATGTCAGTCCACCTAAGTGGTGAATTTTTATTCAGCATTATTATTATTATTTTACACTGTCCAATAGTTGAAGGATGTGATGAAGTTTCTTTTCTAGCTAAAACACTTCAATTCACTACCAGTCCTTCTTCCTCTCACAAGAGCATAACTGTTCTCTTACCATCCTTAATGAAGCTCAATGGAAATTAGTGGATTCATTTTAAGCAACATGTAATTGTAATGTTAATTAAAGAGACTGGTGGAAACATTATGATGTAATAAATTATACACATTAAAAAACCTGTGATTGATATAGAACTATTTCAGACCGAAATAGTAAAATCATTACATATGAGAGAAACCAATATGAACTAGATCTCTCTTTTATTACTATCTCTCTGAGGGTAGCAATACAACAAAGGAAAAGAAATTCAGACCTTACTCATATGCTATTTTCAGAGCAGATATAAAGTAATGCTAGGAAGGCAACTGACCAATGCTTTCTAAACCAGTCCAGGAGCACCCATATTAACCACCCTGCTTATTTATCCATTCCCAGCAGTTTGTGCAATCTTAGTAGGAAAAAGTGCATGTAGATAGAAGACAAAGGTAAACAATGTTTTTCTGAGCAGGTATAGTTGCTAAATGTGTGGGCAATGATTGACAACAGGGACACAACTGTCTTTGAATACTTTGTAAACTAGTGATCAGGGGACAGCTCAGTGTACAGTGATGGACAGATCTAGGATATGAGAAGATGCTTTCAGATTTCTGTATGCAGTATTACATGTAATAGCTCTACTCTTAAGAACTATATATAGTTCAAAACATACATAAAAATAGTTTACAGATTTCTAATTTAATAGCATCTCCATATGCAAGCTATATTACAGCTATGTATTTTTTAGCAGAGGAGAAAGACTTATACTTGCACATATACAATTAAGGCAACCTCGCTAGTTTGGTTTTATCATTAGCCTAGTGAAATAACCATGTCTACTCATTGCACTTTTAAGGCTGAAAGGCACAGATGTGATTAACTTGCTGACTCTGCATTTAACAGAAATAAAAAAATCCTGAATTTATACCATAAATACAGAAATCTGGGTTTCCATCTCCCCCAGTTGTAGAACTGGCGGTTGAAGAGAGCTGTTTGCCATCGCATGTGAAAAGGAGAGATGCTCAAACCATATGTCAGCAGCCAGTCTTCATAAGATGCCTTCAGAGAGTTGGATGACTGAAAAACAATGGAAAATTAGTTTGACCAAAAATTTCTAGGAAGATTTTGTGTTATGTGACCAAGCAGTAAATGTGATCTGTTTATTAAAAAAAGGATGTATAACTTCAGGTAAACATCCTGCACATTATTTGTATTTTGACATACAGGTAGGTGTGACACATAATATGAAAAAATTATGGCACTGTTTTGATGTAAATCACAATGGTTCTAGGATTGCAAGAGGGATTGGGTAACCAGTGTTATATCATCAAGTGTTAAATCACTCTCAGCTGTTTTTAACCTTCTGGTTAGAAGGCTAAAGACCGAACTGTTTATGGTATTTTTTCAATGTACAATTATATTCCAGTAAAATTTTTTAAAACTGCAATGAAGAAAACTACTTATTTTGGCTTCAGTTGAAAAAAAACATTTCTACTATTAGCAAGATATGGATCAGTATTGTGGATACCCTTTAGTAAGGGTAAAAATTAGGTCTACTTTTCAAATGCAAAGACTATGCCCAAAGAGACTCTGAAACATTTGATCATACTAACAAAAATCCAGAAGGAATTTAAAATTATCAACCTGTATTGTAACAGTGACTTCACTATGATAACTTCCCAGCATACTGCTAGAATGCCTTCCTAGTCGTTCCAAAGATTTCTCTTCATGAGAAATGTGATCTATTAATGTGATTAATAGTTATCTGCACTATTATCCAATATTACACACCAATAGACATAGTTTTGCAATTGCTATTTTATATTACATGGTGCTTGTATTCTCAGTAGGATTTACTCAGCCTGCTTCATGCAAGCTAGTATCAGAAACTCAAGTGAAGGAATGCTTTCCTTGGAGGTGAAAGAAGAACTCACAGCCCAGAAAAAGCACACCAGAGCTTTGAGCCTTCTGACTTGGGGCAGGTCCCAAGGCAGAAGTGTCTCTGACATAATCCAGACAAGTCTTCAGAGCTGTCTGGACTGGAGCACTGTTCCCAAGTTTCCCCGTGAGCAGCAGCACCTACTGAAGACATCAGGAATGCGCAGTTCATGACAGGCTCCCTTCTCCTCCCCCCAGGAGGAACCTCACAAGTTTCTGGCTGTCATCCGTTGCTCTTTAAACAAATTTTGAACTTGCCAAGCTCCTTGCATTTTTCTTGTCCTGCGACTGTGGTGTGGTGGGGTGAAGATCTCATCTTGCACAACTATATTTATAGCTTTTCTCATTTTGTTAATTAATCAAAATTTGAACAGAAGAAATTTATTTCAAGTAACTGTTTTTCTAGGACATGAGAGCCATTTACTCAGGTCATTGTTCATGTATCACCTATTATACCATTTATCCTTTCTGCCTATATATCTCTACGTCATTTCCTCCTTCTTCACCCTACTGATTTCAGACACAATTTTGTTCAGTCATCTGAGAGCACTGATAGAAATTTTGATCGTAGCATATTCCCTAATCAACACTAGGCACTCCCTGTGACACCACTAAGTTCACTGTTCACAACCAGATCAGCATTTGCTAACCTAGCACTTGCTAACTTTAACAGAAAAGACCAAAGTTTATTACACTTGTACAATTAACAATGCATAAGCCAAGGAAACAAAGTAAAAGACCTCCTCACATAATCTACCAGATAATTAAGAACAAAAATACATATGATACTAAGTAGTTCTGATATGCAAAACTGTCTTTGGGGAATTAAGTAAATATATCCTATTCATTCACACAAAGTTAAAAAACAAAACAAAACAAAAACAGCAATCAAACAACCAGCCACATACTGTTACAATAAAGCTAAATGGGTATATTGATTTGGTACTTTAAAAAACATGTTCCTTTTATCACATGCAAAAAACACTTTTTCCCTAAAAATGCCACAAATTCATCCCTTCAAATTCATTTCAAACACATCACAGCCACACTGTACTAACAAATACTATGTATTTGTTCATAAACAAATATGAAGTTTTCCATGAGAAATATGGGATTACTGACCATACATTTGCCAAAAGGGAGGGAAAAAAAAGTACTAAAATTCATCTTCCTTTTTCATTTCCCTCATAAGTTGTGTAAATGGTATTCATGATCACTAAATGACTGCAACTCTTTGAAAAATACATTAAAAAGCTCTATGCAAACTTTTACTCCTTCTATCCAGAGCTCAGCAGGATCACATTACCCCCTGCACCCTCACACCCTGGTATGAGGTCTGCTGGTATCCTATGTTTCATTTCAAACTTCCTTCACACAGGCCTTGCCTCTGCTTCTTTGAATTCTAAGTGACCTTTGTTATATTAATTTTACTATATAAGCAGTATTTTTTTGTATTTATGCAGGCCTTCAATATAATGAACGTCTGCTAAATACTCCAGGAGCTCCATAAATACCTGCCAGCAAGCAGCGGTCCTTAACATTCTTCTTTGCTGACAAAAACTGTTCAAGAGCTCTGAACCATTTCAGCTTCCTGACCTTAAAAGCTGAAGGCTAACCTTGGCTGAATGCATCTAATGCATCCTTTATTTCTCATAGCAGAGGAGGGACAACCTTCCACCCTTGGCTTGTTCCTGATCCTTCAGGCTGAATGAAACAGGATGATTTAGGATGTCGAGGAGCAGGAATTTAGGGGTCTGCCTGAGTAATTCCCTTTTGTAGGATCCAAGCTGCAGTGAAAACTTTCAGGCCAGTGGTTCAATGAAGAGCACCAAGAGGGACATAAAATTCCAAGTCCCAGCTTGACTGAGCATATTTTTAGTTTGCTAACACGAAGGTATCTATCTTATAATGTAACCCTAGAGATATTATGTGAATTTATTTCTGAAAAAAAATGCATTTATACACCCAGTTATTCCTTCTATATTGTAGATTTTCCAAGAATCAGCCTGCCTAACAAAATGTTTGAAATCTGAACAAAAACAGTAAGTAAACAAACTGAGCAAGAGGCATTGCACATTAAGCAAGTTTACAGAATAAACACCAACTGCAAGTTACAGCACATATCCTTCTCTTGCCAAAAATATCAACAGGATCATGCATGGAAAAGTACTCCTGTATTATTTTTCACTCACGCTCCGCACATCCTTTTGGAGTAATTAACTTGTAAGTGATTTGAGGTTTAAGCAGGGACTGACTTTTGCTATGGTTGCTAGCAGCCTCGGGTTATGAATGTGGTGGGAGATTTACAGTACCAGCAATAAAACAAGAAATGCTGAGTCTCCTAATTATATAACTCTGGTTATTTAAACCAAATTCTATTTTGGCTGTGGTGCTCACAGTGAAACTTATCGAGATGTACATACATGAGATCTACCAGTAAGTTTACTGAAATCCAAGAGTTCCCACATACTTGCTGACAATGAATAACCTTTGTCAACTTTTAGTTAAAAGATCAAAGTTAAATTTTAACTCCTGGACTCTCTTGCTTGCTATGGCATTCCAGGCATTGTCCCTTCTTTTTCAACATAAGCACCGAGTTGGCTCCAAACAATGTGGGTTTTTTTTTTCTTCCTTTGCTGCTGCTAACCTCTACCAGAGGTTGTAACAAGAAAAACAGTGGCTACTCTTACTTACTAAAGAGAATGACTTTAAGGTCTAATGCTGACAGAGATCTTCAGAATCTCAGAGACAGAAACAAGTCTCACCACTGTGGCACAACAGGTCCACTACCTGAAATCAGCACTTGCTTCACACTCTAAGACTCTTCATCAGACACAATGTCACTGTCAAAAGAAAACCAGCCTGCTGGCTGACCTTTTTGGTGGTTTTGGCGTATCTCACTAAAGTCAGGAGCATGTTTTTCTGGTATCCAGCTGATCTTCTACTGTGTTTCAAAACAATGCTACATTTGTTTCCAAATACCTAATACACACTCAATGCAATCAAAACATGGAAAAATCTTCAGATAAATTACATAATGACAATAAAAAATATAGTAAAGACTAATAATTGGCAATTAATAGCTCATCATTTACTGAGCAACATGCTCTCCAACAATTAGCAGCAGGGGGAGCCCCTTATTTTTCCAAGTTTGCTCATCACCTAAAATTTGTTGTATTTCTTCCTACATTTTACAGGAGTGACAAAAATGAAATCGCTAGGCCATATCTGCACTTGGCAGAAACAGATGCAGTTCCTGGACTGTAACGTTAATGTAATAAAAA